CGGCGCTGGGTGTGAGGTGATGTCCTGCTGGCGCGGCCCGGAGCGAACACCCGCCCGCTCGGGTTCCCAGGGAACCGGCGCTTGGGTTCTCTAGACTGTGAGGCGGCGGCTAGAATTTGATCCGCGTTCGCCTCATCGGTGCTTTCCGCGCGCTTCCACGTCTTTTTCTCCACTTTCCCCGCCCCCGCCCCGACCTCTGCTTTCCCCGCGGGTTTAAGCTACTGAGTCCGGCCGGAGTCACCGCGTCCTGGTGCTGGTCTGGGTGCCTGTCTCCGGTGAACTGGAACATTCTCCTCCTCTTCTCCGGGTTCGGTGTTTGGGTGTGGAACATCCACGCGCGGGCTGGTCTCCGGGTCCGGCGTGAAATTACCAACGTCTGGAATCCATCTCCTCTGCGCCAGCTCATTTCTGATGCCCCAGATCGGACCGCTGTCCATCTGTCAGGACGGTTTCGATGGCTGGAAACTGTGGACTCTTCCTCTATTCCAGCCCATTCCCCCCATGGACAGCGGGCTCTGGCTCCCAAAATAACCTGCGGATCACTTGTTAAGGTCCCTGGCTTTTCATCGCCTGTGTAATGACCACGGGCTTCAAAAGTTTTTATACTCTGGTTGGGTCTCACCCAATCATTTCATTAGCGGAAGCAAAAAACACCCAATCAGAAGAGCAAAAAGAAAAAAAAAAGAATCCAAAAATATGAAAGATATTTTAAAGAGCCTCTAGGGCAGTGGTTCTCAGCCCGGGGGTCACAATCCCTTTGGCAGTTGAATGACCCTTTCACAGGGGTCGCCTAAGACCATCCTGAATATCAGATATTTATATTACGATTCATAACAGTAGCAAAATTTTAGTTATGAAGTAGCAACGAAAATAATTTTATGGTTGGGTGTCACAACATGAGGAACTGTATTAAAGGGTCGAGGCATTAGGAAGGTTGAGAACCACTGGTCTGGAGGCCCGGTGCATGAAATTTGTGTAATGGAGGGGCGGGGGGTCCCTCAGTGTGAGAGGGTGCAGGCTAGGCCGAGGGACCCCACCAGTGCAGGATCAGGGGTGGGGGGATGCGGGAGGTTGGCCAGCCAGGGAGGGACCGCAGGTGGACTCCAGGGCGTGTCCAGCCCGTCTTGTTCAGTCCCCATCAGCTGGACCCCAGCAGCAAGCTAACCTACCGGTTGGGTTGGTGCATCTGTCCCCTGGTGGTCAGTGCAGGTCATAGCCAGTGTTTGGGTGGCCTTAGCATGTCATTAGCATATTAGGCTTTTATTATATAGGACTAGAGGCCCGATGCACGAAATTTGTGCAAGGGGCTCAGCCCTCACAGCCTCGGCTTCGTCCAGAAGGTCGTCCGGACGGTTGTTTTGCTGTTTGGCTGTTCGATCAATTTGCATATCATGCTTTTATGATTATAGATAGCTTCCCTTCTTTCAGCCCCAGAAATTTTATGTCCTAATGAAGCACACGTGTATTGCCCTGAACACAGCATACGCTTTAAGATATATTATAGGAACGTATGGCCACAGAGAA